CACTAATGTGGATAGGCTCCGTGCATCACGGGGGCAAGAAGCAGTGGCATCCCTAGATATCGAGAAGGCGTTCGACTCGGTTAAATGGCCCTACCTGTTTGCAGTCCTCCGTAGATTTGGGTTTGGTAGTCGCTTGGTCGCTTGGATAGGGCTCCTCTACTCTTCCCCCACTGCTAGAGTACGCATTAACAATATGCTGTCGACCCCCTTTGCCCTGGGCCGGGGCACGAGACAGGGCTGTCCCTTCTCGCCTGGACTATTTGAACTGGCGATGGAACCTATAGCTATACTGATTCGGGCCTCGGCCCGAGTGGTGGGGCTCCCAGTGGGGAGATTGGTGGAGAAGCTTTCACTCTACGCCGATGATGCGATACTTTACCTGGGGGACGTGGGGCCTTCCTGACAGCGGCTTTAAGCATAATAGACACCTTTGGTTCCTTCTCAGGGCTCCGGGTGAACTGGGGGAAATCCTTACTGTTCCCGCTGGGCTCATGCCCCCTTCGGCTTGATCCGGGCTTGCCCCTCACGCAGGTTTCTGAATTTCGATACCTGGGTGTGGTGGTGAACTCGGATCGTGCCCGATTCCTAGAAGATAATTCATATCCCATACTTAGACACCTGAAGGCAAAATGTATGGCATGGAAAACTCTCCCCCTGACACCGGTGGGTAGAATCAACTTACTGAAAATGGTGTTTCTCCCGAAGTTTCTTTACTGTTTCCGTAATACCCCGGTCCAGATTCCCATTTCCTTTTTTCACACACTGGAAGGAATTATCTCCAATTTTGTCTGGGCGGGAAAAACTCCTCGGGTGTCTAGGGGAGTCCTCCGACTCCCTCTGTCTGAGGGGGGACTGGGACTGCCATGCTTCAAAACCTACTATTGGGCGTCGGTTCTGGTGACGGTCTGGTGGTGGTTTATAGGGGATCAGGATAACCCGGCGGTAACTCTGGAGGCTGCTCTGATGGGTTCTTATGCAGGGCTGAGAAACTTGGTTTATAGGGGTCCGAAGGCTGTTGGGACGGTCACGGGACCTATGCGTACTGTACTGGCGGTGTGGGACAGGATGAGAAGGGGAAGGGTGCCGGCTGGCGCCATCTCCCCCGATGTCCCGTTGTGGGGCAACCCAAGACTAGAACACCTGCTCTCTGTCCCGGACCCCCAGGTTTGGGCCCACCGTGGGATCACAGTGATTAAGCACATCATGCCGGAGGGCACGTTGTTGAGTTTCGACAGACTTCGGGCCAACTACTCCCTACCCCAGATCATGGGTTTCAGATATATGCAGCTGAAACATGCGTGTAGAGTCCAGTTCCCTGACCCAATGACTATTGCTTCGGACCGTATTGAGCGATTCCTAATGTCGGTCGGAGTTCACAAACCCTTGTCCTCCCTCTACCTGCGGTTGACCTGTACGGAGGGACCCCAGCTGACGACCCTTTATGAGAAATGGAGGGTAGACATCCACAGTCTGACGGAGGATCTTTGGGAGGAATGCGTCCAGGCCTATATATCCACAGTAATTTCCCCCAGGGAACGGTTCATCCAGCTCAAGTTCCTCCATAGAGCCTATTACACCCCTGCTAGACTGGCTAGAATCTACCCCACGGCGGATGCGATGTGTGCTCGTTGCGGGGTAGAGGAGGGTACTTTCTTTCATATGGTATGGTCCTGTAGCAAGCTTCGACCATACTGGAGCTCGGTGGTCTCCACGGTCGAGGCGGTTTCTGGACTGCAGCTGGAGGTGGACCCCTTGCTCTTCCTGCTGGGATGTGGGGAGACCCTTCGGGCCCCTAGGGCCACCAAGCTCCTCCTATTTTATGTAGCTTTCTATGCTCGTAGAGAGATAATCCTGAGATGGAAGCTAACTTCTCCCCCCACGGTGGGACAATGGCTGAGCACTATTGATAGAATGCTCCCGCTCTACAGGCTGACATATATGGGACGCAACTGTGAGCGTAAGTTTGATCGTATTTGGGGAGGCTGGGTGGTGGCCAGGGGACTTACCTTGGAGGGCCCGGGCGGAGAGACCTTACTCCCGCCTGAACCCCCTGAATAGAGGCTCTGGTGTGCACAGGAGGTGTCTACTTCCCTCCTCCCCGTCTCCCTTGCCCTCCCACCTAGCTCCCCTAACCCCATCCTGGTATCTCCCTCCTCAGTCCTGCCCCCCCTCCTTCTTCCCCCTCCTCCTTCCCCCTCCTTCTTCCCCCTCCTCCTTCCCCCTCCCTCTGAGTGCCTCCCCCAGGAGCCTTCACTTAGTAGTATGGCCAGGTCACCTGAAGAGATCGGACGTGCTGCAAACACATGAGACCAATGATCCACACCGACTTAGTTTGGTAGTGTCTGTCTAGTTTTGTATATGTAGGATTTTTCTTTTTCTTTTTCCCATTATTGTATTGTCTTGTACTAAATGCTGTTATTCTGTGTCGAGATGATGTTATTTCATTTTCTCTGTATTGTATGTGCCTAGTTATATGTATTAAAACCAATAAATACATACCTGTTTAAAAAAAAAAGAAAACTGGGGAAAAGCCCTGACCCCATAGTTCTCCTTTTTAAAGCTCATCTCACAGGAGCATTGCAGTAAGATGTATGTTTCTTTTGCTGTATACCAGTTTAATCTTTTTATTCATGTATCTTTTTTTTTTTTTTTTAACTTCAGTCTGTATATCCCTTTTTCAATGCATCAATAACTTGAATCTTAACAAAAGATGACACCCAGGCTAGACCCATAAGAAGCTGGGCAGGAAATCTTGCTTCTATGTTTTGTTTTTGAAGAATGCTCTCTACATTAGATTAGTGCTCATGTTTCCCTTTGCAGATGGCCTTGCTAGCCTTGTCTCAAGTAAATAGTTGGAAAAATTTATTGTGAATGATTATCTTGGTCAGCCTAAGATTTGGGCAACGTTGGATTAATCCAATGACACACAATCCAATGGTTATAGAGATTAGGCAACAATTATTTTATGTTTAGTAAACTGGAGCTGACCCCTTCAGACTAGATGGAAAAAAAACCCTTACATTAGGGTCCTAGTGAGGTATGGCGTATGGGTCCAATATGACATTCTTTCCTTTTTTCCTTCCCTTTTTTTTTACTTGCATCCTCTATGTGGATGTTGCCTTTTAATGTTAAAATAGTGTTGGCTACAGCCAACACTGGAAACTTCAGCATCTAACACTAATGGGTGTATCGGATGCCTGATGTCTGTGTGCTGTGGTTACTAAACCTTTGTTTGTTGTGGGTAGTTGGGGAGTAGAGAGAGGCAAGCATCGGACACACCTGGCTGGAAGACTGTGACAATCCTCTGCAAGAAAGTTGTTACTTGTAGTATATATGTATTTTTACAGGCTGCCTTCAGTTACATTTCTTTTTGTATTCTGTAAGCCACCCTTCTAGTTTTACAGGTTGTATTGCCAAGTGCTAAGTTGTTCTAACAGTTACTTTCAGGATGTTTGCTGATGCAATAACCACTCCTTTGCAAATAATCCTCTCAAAGCTTTCAATCCATTCCTGCTGCAGGAATCCCAGAACACTGCATGTGTCCCCGTGTGAATGGGACCCTAGGATAATGCTAGCCATACATGCTATGCATTTCCCTCACAGTGCTGAACAAGAGAGCCATTGGTTCCTCCATCTAAACAGGTGAATGTAGGCACTGTTTGGCAACCGGGCCACCTCGAAATTGGAGCAGTGTATGGCCAAGTTAATTATGCAGTCAGTACGGTCTTTCACTCTATAGTTTTTTGTTTTTTTTCCCAGAATCACTCTTAAGTCTAGTTTACTCAGTGTCACAAAGCCAGGAATTGAATACGACTCCTTATCACCTGTTGTTATATCCGTGTGGGTGTGTATATGTTTAATTTAACAATCAACAATTACAGCATTGGCTTTGACGTATTATGAAAATAGTTTTTCAATGGTTTCATATTTAAACTTTAAGGGAGAATTATGAGGCGAGTGATTTTCACTCGCCTCATAATCTGAGCTGACCTGTGACAATGAAACTGTCACAGGTCAGCTCAGTAGATCGGGAAGTGAGCGAACACATACCGTCGCTCGCTCACTTCTCGATCTATCCCTGCAGAGACCCGTGACTGTCGCTCACAGCACCCTGCAGGGATTCTCCCCCTCCCCTGTTCGATCCTCCAGCGCTGACTGGCGAAACGGACGGGGGAGGGGGCGGGCACAGCTGGCTCTCCCTCTGGATAGGCAGAGCCAGCTGTCAATCCCGCAGCTGGGTGGATCCACACAGTATTGTCGGGATCCGTCCCGGCTGCAGCTCTTAGTATACTGAGCTTGGGTCACAGGAGAACGCTAGTTTGTGTCCCCCCGAGACCCTTAGAAGAACTATGGGGAAAAGCCCTGACCCCATAGTTCTCCTTTTTTAAAGCTCATCTAACAGGAGCATTGCAGTAAGATGTATGTTTCTTTTGCTGTATACCAGTTTAATCTTTTTATTCATGTATCTATCTTTTTTTTTTTTTTTACTTCAGTCTGTATATCTCTTTTTCAATGCAGCAATAACTTGAATCTTAACAAAAGATGACACCCAGGCTAGACCCATAAGAAGCTGGGCAGGAAATCTTGCTTCTATGTTTTGTTTTTGAAGAATGCTCTCTACATTAGATTAGTGCTCATGTTTCCCTTTGCAGATGGCCTGGCTAGCCTTGTCTCAAGTGAATAGTTGGGAAAATCGATTGTGAATGATTATCTTCGTCAGCCTAAGATTTGGGCAACATTGGATTAATCCAATGACACACAATCCAATGGTTATAGAGATTAGGCAACAATTATTTTATCTTTAGTAAACTGGAGATGACCCCTTCAGACTAGATGGAAAAAAAAACCCCTTACATTAGTATACATTAAATTACTAGTGAGGTATGGTGTATGGGTCCAATATGACCTTCTTTCCTCTTTCCTTCTTCCCTTTTTTTTCTATTTTTTTACTTGCATCTTATATGTATTTATAGTAAACAAAATTATCATTATAATTCTAGATCTCCAACTATGGCTGGTGGATTGTTTGCAGTGAGTAAGAAATATTTTGAATACCTTGGAACTTATGACATGGGAATGGAAGTTTGGGGAGGAGAAAACCTGGAACTTTCATTTAGGGTGAGTAGAAATCAAATTGTAATGCCTATTTCATTCAATATTTCACTTTCTTTTAATAATTTTGGATAAAGTGGGAAGGGGTAATATCTTTAGTCTGACTTTTCCATTGTTCCTGTTGGGAAGATTTCACTTCTTGTTCTAGTGAGCACATAGGAAGTGAGGATAATCTCTATACTGCATTCATCAATTAAAGCTTGGGAAAGGTTCTTTCCATTCCTTGCTCAAATATTTAAAAAAAAAGAAGATTTTTGTTGCCTCCCATGTACTTTTTGTAGAAGTTTCTCCACACAGTAATGGATGGAAAATCTCCTCCAAGAGGAAGCAGGTGGCAAATTAAATTCTATTCAGTAGAGCCCCACTGTGGCTTTGACTTTGGTATGCTGTGCTCTGTATGAAACTGAAACTGATGTTGGCGCTCCTGATACAGAGCTGGCTGGCACACTGACAGAGGAGTCCAGTTGGTTACACCAGGAGAGCTGCTCCCTAGGATTATCAGCATTGTTTGATTGACAGGTTGATAGCCAGGCCCTGCACAATGTAGGGAACCATAAAGGTGATATACAGGTATGTTACTACATCTTTTATTGCACATTACCTTCAGTCCATCCCATAATGATCGCATTAAAGCAGCCACTCCAGGCTATGTGGGGCCTTCACTTTTTGACGAGATAGCTATACTACTTTGGTCCTCTTTCCACACTGCCCTCCAAGGAGGAGGCAATACTTGAGCATGGGAAGGGTGCATACGAATTTTTTCTTTTCTTCATCAGTACGGTGGAGAGAAAAACACAGTTTCGTTCATGTTGGGCTTCAAGGAATGCCTTAATATATCCTGGAGTTTAGTGTGTTTGCTATTTTTAAGTATCACCTTAGTTGATTACAGATGACGCAGAATATACATATAAAATTGCAGTGCTAAAGCTCTAAGGCAGTGGTTCTCAACCTTTCTAGGGCCGGGACCCCTTGGTAACAAGTTGTGGTGACCCCCAAAGGTAACATTTAGGGATGACGCGGCTGCTGCAGCGACATCTGGAGGCGTGGCAGGAGAACTGACACTGCTGCGCTAGGAGAGAGCTGAGGAGGACTCTCACCTTGCACAGCGACCCACAGGTTAGGACCCACTGCTATAGGCAAAGACAGGACCGGGCTCTGCAGCTGGAACTAGAAGAATTTGATTTAAAGTGTGTGGCTATATAACGTATGAGGTACATACTCCGCAGTACTATCACTGATAGGGATAGGCTCGGGTGATTTCGCAGCTCCACGTGCCGAGCCCGCCAGCAAGCTGACAGCGCCAATCACAGGCACTGAGACATTTCCCGATCTCTGCAGCTGCGGACCGGGAAAATGGAATGCATAGCTAGAAGTGTGTTTTTTACATATTTTTTTGCTTGAATACATACATATTGCACCCGCCCTCTGCTGCTGTCAATCACTAGAAGGGGATACAAGTTGTGGTGACCCCCAAAGGTAACATTTAGGGATGACGCGGCTGCTGCAGCGACATCTGGAGGCGTGGCAGGAGAACTGACACTGCTGCGCTAGGAGAGAGCTGAGGAGGACTCTCACCTTGCACAGCGACCCACAGGTTAGGACCCACTGCTATAGGCAAAGACAGGACCGGGCTCTGCAGCTGGAACTAGAAGAATTTGATTTAAAGTGTGTGGCTATATAACGTATGAGGTACATACTCCGCAGTACTATCACTGATAGGGATAGGCTCGGGTGATTGCCGAGAGCCACTAGGCGACCCCTGGCAAATCGTCAATCGACCCCTGAGGGGGTCCCGACCCACAGGTTGAGAACCACTGCTCTAAGGGTTCTATTAATAATTTGCAGAGCTATTCTTCCTGTGAATATCTGTAAACGCTTGTTCTGTGCGCAAAAACAAACATTCTTCGTACAGTAAACCCAGTTATCCAGAACCCACGGGGAGCAGTAGGTGCCAAATAACTGTAGTTTCTGGTTGCTTGAGAGTTATTCACCTGCCGGCTAGCTTCCGCACCTGACAGGTGAATGTCGGCAAAAGCCAGACTGCAAGTGGGTATTTCAAATTGCAATAGATAATAGCAGGCTGGTTATTGAAGCCCTGTCCACTGAGCAAAAGAGCAGACCTGACGGAGAAAGTTGTCTCTAAGGTCCGCTCCTCTAATCTGTGGGTGGCTGCAATAGCCAGCCTGCTATTGGCTATTCCAATAGCCAACAGCAGGCTGGCTATTGAAACCCTGCAAGGGACTCTTTTTGGTCCTGCATAGGGACAAGGTGGTCTTTAGGCCTAGACTTTCCTTCCCAAGGTGTTTTCTGCATTCAACTTAATGAGGACATTGTCCTTTCTTCTTTGTGTCCTGCTCCAGTTCACAGGAAGGAGAGATCTCTCCACTGTTTAGACGTGGTTCAAGTAGCTGAGTGTATCTCTGCCACTTCTTTCTGCAAGATGGATTCATTTTTTGTCATTCTGGATTGGTCTAGGAAGGGGCACCCTAAGTTCTTGTTCCACCATTTCTTAGAGGCTTAGACAGACCATGCAAGCTTTTGCTCTCAAGGATAGGTTTCCCCACTTTTCTAGTCATTGCTCACTACACCCAGGCCCTTCATGTCTCTCTTTCCCAGGTCTACATGTTCACATGTTTTCCATATTTTACAAGGTGGATGTTTCTGCCTCTCCTGATGCCAGTTTCAGGGCTAAGGTGTTTCAGGTCACTCTTTGAGCTGCAAGCAGTCCCCAAATCATGTTTTCTTTGCGCCTATTAGCAGTTGCTGTGTTGCCCACCCTCAGAATGCTTTTGGATGCCACAAAGGTTTAGGACTTGCTGTGTCCTTCAAAGCGCTAAAAAGTAAATAGGATTTTTGTTATCTGTATAATATTTTTCTCTGAGTCTATTGAGGTGCACAGGTCCCACCCCTCTCTGATTATGCTCTGGGTGCTGTTTTACTACTAAACTAAACATACTGGTAACAGGGTTATACACTGAGCTTGTCTATACTTTATGTTTGGCAAGTGTCCATGCCCCCATGTTGGTGCCAGTGTAACTCAAAGGTTTAGGATTTTCTATGTCCCTCAATGCACTCCAAGAAAAGGATTTTATGGTGAGTACAAAAATCCTATTTTCTCAGGATGCGTTTCCTGATGGTGATAACAGTGGAGCATGCCTGCACATTTTGTGCTGTCCGTTGGGGTGACGCTGTAGAATCACAGTTGTGAGACTAGGACATAGTGAGTGCCTGTCTATATGCCTTCATGTCAGGCGTAACAGGTATTTTAATGAAAAATTGCAAAATTAAAATGGGATTTCAGTGATTGTTTTTATACTATGTAAACCCAATATGATATAGCAGAATAATGGGAGCTCCCACTGCTGACTTCTTTTTGCATGTTCACCAGTGACTCCCCAATAAGCAATGGAAAGATGAGCCCTAGAATAAATGTAACTACAAAAAAAAGTCCCACTTTTAAAAAGTGGAAAATATTTGATATTTATTATAGTACAATACTATGCCTCACACAGTGTTTGGGTTTTTTTTTCCATCTGTGTGAAAGAACCAAAAATGTCATATACACATGCGCAAATGGTTGTATAAAGTTACCAGTTTTGCTGGATGGATTGATAAATGAAAATATATGAGTTTAATTGTTAACTTTTTTTTTCTTGAGTACGTTCTGCTCCAATCCCCATTCACTGCTGATCACATGACCAAATGACTAGGTAATTGATCACATGGTCTCTACTGGATAGAATCAACCAGTGGGAACACTCATTTTTGTAGGAGATTACACCCCCTGTGACCTAGGCCTTCACATGCATCAATAAAGATATTTCTGCCCTTCTACTCTATTTATTAATGCATCCTATCAAGGCTCTTTGATACCATTTGTACATAAGTCTACTTTAATGTGGTTGTGCAGGCAAATTATAAACAGGAAGGTTGGTAACACTGCACAACAGAGTTCTTGCTTCTTGAACACTGTTGGATGTTCCTTTATAGATTTTTGGCTGCTAATCACTAAAATCACATCCAAATTTGCCCATCTCATACCGTTTCATTGAAATCTTCAGTTTTGTCATGTTTTTTTAGAAACGTAAACACAATTAAATACGTTATTGCAGGTAAACCGTTAACTGTCTGTCTTTTTCTCAGAGTTCCTACGTGATGCAGCAAAACCAAAACCATATTTGTGCATACCCTCCAGGTACCTGTCACAATCGGCAAAAACTTTTCAGGAAGCAAAACTTTGCACAAAATTGTTGTGCAGTATAATAGTTAAAAGTACAAAAGAGTTTAACATTTAAGATCCTTATAATTCTGTCCATACCCTTAACTATTTTGCTTGCTGCAAGCAGCCAGTGACTAACAAATGTACAGAGACAAAAGGGTTAGCTGCAGAAAATATTAGTTTATTCGGAAAAAACAGTAAGGTGAAGGGAAATCTGGTTAATGTATCCTGTTCTTTGACATTTTCTCTGATGACAGGAATATATTGCTAACTCAAGCAGTCATATTAAGATATGTCAGATACAGTCAATAAAATCGAATTCAGATCATTCAAATTACTGTGATAAATTGTTCTAAAATTGTCAAAACAAGATAAACAACAAGCATTTATACGTTTATCATTTGCATTGTGCAGCTATACACTTGCCCAAGTCTAGTAGATCCATAATGAAATCAGTAATGTTTATTATGTTTCCTCTTCCATTTATAACAGGCATGGCAATGTGGTGGCACATTAGAAATTCACCCATGCTCTCATGTTGGACATGTCTTTCCCAAGAAGGCTCCTTATGCAAGACCAAACTTCCTACAAAACACAGCTCGTGCTGCTGAGGTGTGGATGGACAATTATAAAGAGCATTTTTATAACCGAAACCCACCTGCCAGAAAGGTATGTGTGAAACAAGGTGCAGGCTTAATTCCTAAAATTGCCTAATTGCCTAAAAGAAGAGAGCGGCTGTGTGGGCAGAGACAGCCAGCGCTGTATTATTTACATCTATTCTGTCTCGGCCCTTCCTGCTCTAGAGGGAAACCTGAAGCTGCAACACACGCCCCCTGGTCCAAAAAGTGTTCAGCAGCCCCCTTGTCTAGGTCAGCGGATATGTTCACCACTCCACAGATAGATAGACAACTAGCTACGGGAACGTGTCCAGAGAGTATCTGTAAATGGCACCTTTTCAGACTGGGCTAGTGTAATGAGCGGTGTTCCTCAAGGATCTGTGCTGGGTCCGATACTGTTCAACCTATTCATTAATGATATCGGGGAGGGAATAGAAAACCATGTTTCCGTGTTTGCAGACGATACAAAAATAGGGAGTGTACTAGAAACGGATCGTGACAATATAACATTGCAGGAGGACCTCGATAAAATAGGGGAGTGGGCAACACTATGGCAGATGAGGTTTAATGTCTATAAATGCAAAGTAATGCACTTTGGACTTAAAAATAAACAGGCTATACAATCATGGGTATGCCGCTAGGGAAGTCAGAAATAGAAAAAGATTTGGGGGTCATTGTAGACCACAAACTGAATGGTAGCTTGCAGTGCCAGGCGGCGGTAAACAAAGCTACCAGGGTCTTGTCATGTATTAAGAAGGGGATGTATTGCAGGGACAAGTCTATAATTGTGCCTCTGTATAGATCGTTGGTTCGGCCACATCTGGAGTACGCGGTCCAGTTTTGGTTGCCGGTACTGAGAAGGGATGTCCATGAAGTGGAGAGAGTCCAGCGGAGGGCAACAAAACTAATTAGGGGAATGGAGGAGCAGAGCTATGAGACAAGGCTTCTGACCTTAAACATGTTTACGCTAGAATTAAGGAGATTAAGGGGGGGTATGATTCTCATGTACTAGATGTTCAATGGTGACAGCAACATTGGCAACAAACTGTTTGAGATTAACTCAATTACAAAGACTAGAGGCCACCACCTAAAGTTGGTGGAGAAAAAATTCCAGCACAATGGGCGAAGAGGGTTCTTTACAGTAAGAGCGGTTAAGGTCTGGAACTCACTGCCATCGGCAGTGATTTCAGCCAAGAGTGTAGATTTGTTCAAGAAACTTTTGGACAATTTCTTGAGGGACCATAATATCCAGGGATACCAGTATCCCTAAGAATGAGATGATGCGTGGACCCCCAATTACTATGTAACTATATAATTATCATAGACATTTTTAACTCTTACCTCTCCATTTCCCTGTATACTGATCAGAGGCAAGTCCCTCATAGAATGTCCCATGGGCCGCTCTACTGGCGTTACTCCCATCTCACACCCAAAGCTACAGTCATTCTTTTTTTCTACAGGACAAACAGTTCCAGCAAACAATTCAGCAATGTCAGTCTTACCACCCCTCTCAGGCACCGTGGTTAACTTCATTTGAGAGCGCTGGTTCTGTGTTGACATTGTCCACTTATCTTTGGCGCCCATAGACTGGCGGGTTTGGTCTCCTGCCCAAAAGTACCTCCAGGGGTACCCCAGAGCACAGGGCATGTTGCAGACGTATGGCCCAGTTGACCACATCCAAAACATGGTGTAGGCTGAGGAGGACCCCACATCTCAGGGCATGACACCATGCTAGGCCCCCACTGACCACACGCTGTGCAGGGAGATTTTCACCCAAAAGATTCCTCTGCATTGCTTTCCAGGCACGCTGAAGCTTACGCAGATTCTGCTGGGCTTCGCTGTCACTCAGGTTTTTCTCTCCTGACAACGCTTTCTCTCTGGTTGCTATGGGAAATGGCACTCTTCCTCGGGGCACTGGCTGGCTGTGCTGGACTCTCTCGACTCTCTCTCCAGGCGACGCATGCTTCCCAGTTACCATGAGAGAAGACGCCCTCCCCTTTGACACTGGCTGGCTCTCTTGACTGCACTGGGTACTCTTTCCAGGCATCTTTCTTTGGCTCCACTCCTCTGCAGGCGACCTCCATGGCATGCAGTCAGCAACCCTGCATTCACTGACGTTGCTACTGACAACTGCATACCTGCGGGACCTCTGATCAGCCGCCCTCTCTCTCCACATAGTCAGAGCAGGCTTTTCCACTGTAGTAGCTGGTGTAATTGCTGCCAGATGTTGCTTGCACCAGGCCACAGCAGACTCACAATCTGGCCCAGCTTTTTCTGGCATCTGTGTAGCTTCCACAGGCGTTGACCACCCCTCCAGCCACCAAACCTTCCAACCACTTTTTCATAACAGTCTTTTTTCTTTGACCGCCCCATCCTGGCAGACAATCGATTTTGTGCAAAACACAGCACCTTTGCACACGGTTTCACAGTCCACAGAAAAAGTTTTAGAGCATTGTCTCTTTAAGGACTTCTCCTTGTCCTGCAGGCCTTAGCTCACCTGCTTTACACAGCATACAATCTCTGCTTGTCTCACAGAGAAACACAGTTCACAAACACATGGACTTACATTAGCTGGAACTCCACCGTTTTTCCAATGCTTTGAGAAACAGCTTCTGCGAGAGGTAGCTCTGGCTGCCCGGATTCTCCACCATATGTGAGGTTTAGCTTCCAATGGTAGCGCATAAAGGACTCATCCACTCGCTGTAATCTTCATTCAAGGGCTTCATTGCCCACTTTTATTAAATGAAAGTTCACAAAACAGAACAATTACCCTCGCAGGGGTTCTTTTGCATCTCATGGCAGCACATGCCCATCCAGCCTCCTGGCTTTACATTTGCAGCACCGCTGCTCCGGCCTCAGGCCACTGTCTGTTCCTCCAGACAGCCTCAATCGTGTGCTCACCTGCACACTGGGGTTTTCTCAATCCGCAGCAACCTGCTGCACTGGACTCCACTCTGACTCCTGGGTGGGCCCTTCTTGTCTCCCAGGTGGAGTCTTGAACCCTTCCCAACACCTTTAATTTAGTTCAATTTTTATTAAGGGTTTCATAAGACATAAAGGTAAACACTTGACATACAAAAGCAAAAATCAAAGTCGCTGTACAACAGTAATGCAAACATAAAAGGTCCAAAGTCTCGGAGCACAGTCAAAACACCTTTAATTTAAAGGCTGTGCACACCTGTGCCATCAGCATGCACTGGCCACTCAGATTCTGAACACAGGAATGGAGATACCACAATGGCATTGCCATGCACTGCCACATCGGCTAGAACTATGAGGTGAGTGAAAAGCACTCACCTGATAGTTCTCCTTTAAGAGTAAGATAGCTGGATATGCCAAAATGAAATTTATGCATTTATGAACAAGAATTTGGCAAACCTCTTGAAAGGAGCGATGTAATTTAGATAGTTCTGCGGAGTAGTCTGCAAATAACAGCAAATTATGGCCTCCTGCTACCAGTTGATGTTACGTTCTGTACCATTTGTAGAATGCGTCGTTTATTCGAATAGTCCAGATACCTGACAGTAACTGCTCTAGGTTTGTCCAAATCTTTGAGAGGGCCTATTCTGTGGTCTTTCTCTACAGTGCAAACTGAGGTAATACCCAGTACCTGTGGAACAGTGGAGGAGCAGAAGCGTTGCAAATCGTTCAGCTTTAACAATTCAGGGATCCCAGTGACTCAGATGTTTCTGCGGGATTGATTTTCTAGGTCATCTACTTTATTCTGTAAATACTGCGGTGTTTTTGTATCTTCGTTATATGATTTTTGAGACACAGCAGCATTATCCTCCGGGCTGCTAATGCGGAGTTCAAGGGCCTGAAGCCTGTTTATTTGTGCTTCTAAAGCCGTAGTAAGAGGACCCATATGTATTTGCAGGGAGTCAGCAATGATGTGAGCCATCAATGTTTTCATATGAAAGGCTACTATAGCAGCCAGTTTCTGGTAGTCTATAGGTGCACGTGTTGGCAGCAGTGACTCACCTCCCAAATCGTCGGCAATATCAAGGCACTGTTCGTCTATGTCTGCCATTTTAGGCTGGGCGTCGTTGTGCTTAGACGGAGAGGAGGGAGCGCGATGGACCGACTGCGATCGAGCCACAAATTTGTCCATTGTCTTCTGTGGACGAGGGGACTGGGTGGTAAGTCTTTTGTTTGTTTTTTTTAGAGCTGAGAAAGTGTGTGTTTTGGAGGTGGTGGGACAGAGCTCTGGAGATGGAGGACTCCATCTGGCGCCGGAACTCCTCTTGAACTTTATTTTACACTACTTCGAAACGGTACTGCCCCAGACAATATACTTTGCTTTATGCCAACTCATTAACCTTATCAGTAGACCAGTGATGCTGACTCAGCAGTGCCACAAGCTTAGTCCGCTAGCTTTATTTACCATCAGTAAAGATGCACCAACAGTAACAAAGTTAAACTTTACAATGCAGCATCAACCACACAGTGCAGTATATGAGTACAAAGAAAGACCATGCTAGATAATAAACACATGTAAAATATCAGGAGGAAGAGCTCAAGTTTGCCCATATCATACAATTAGTCTCCTTTTTTTTCAAAAACACCCACTACACAATAATATTTTACCTGCATTGATAGATCAGGCTTCGGGGCGTAACCGACCCACCCAAAAAAAACCCCCACAAAATAAAACTACCTCCAGAACATGTTTGCATGCCCGCATCATCTCAGTCTTCTCTTTAGCTCTGACATCAGAGCTAAGGAAGAGATCATTCCATCACTCACTGCTGCAAAGTCCACCTGAGACGCAGCACATACCAGAGATCCTGTAAAGCCCACCTAAAAAAAACCCACACAGCCCACCTGAGAGTGACCCTGCAGAACCCACCTGAGACCCCACACATATCAGATAGCCCACCTGAAAGTCACCCTGCAAAGCCTACTTGAGACCCTGCACAGCCCACCTGAGACGTGAGCCTAAGTTTGCCCACTTACAAAGAAATGAAAGGTCTATAAGTTTTATCATTGGTGTATTTTAAATGATAGAGACAGAATATCAACACAAAAATCCATAAAAAACATGATACAAATGTTATAAATTGAGTTGAAGTTCAGTGAGAAAAATGTAATTTTTTGCTCCATAAGATGCACTTTTCCCCCCCCCCAAAAGGCGGGCAAAAATGTCTGTGCGTCTTATGGAGTATATTTTCCCCCCAGGTCTCCACAATCTCCTGCGCCAAATGCCCTGCCGCCTCAGCTGTAACACACAAACCACACGCGTCCAGCGGCTCCCGCAGGGTG